ACAGCCATTAAACATATTCCATAACTAGAAATCAATATATCCCAAGAGTGCAATCTTTCTCAAGACTGAGTCTTTAAATTGAGTAGCTTATTTTAGATATTTAAACAGTGCCAGAGCTTAGATATCATTATCCAAAATAGAAGTAAGCTAAATTACTATATTGATGAATAGTCTGAAAGCTATAAAATGAAATAAGTGGAGAAAATGATATATATTGAAGCAAGTTTTCTGTAATTTATTTTTCCCTATAGGAAGATAATTCAATCACTCACTTTCTCTATCATAAAATATCCCATTAAAGACTTCAAATATGCTATCCAAAGTTTTATGTCTAAGTCAATAATACGATGTACTAGATAACTCTTGAAGAAAAAAGCTATGTTTCATTTATTAACTTTTTGTCACTTTAATATTGAGGGTAAAATACACTCAACCTATTTTTTAAAAATATTTCAATTTAGTGTAATATTTAGGCACTTTGAAAGCATTTAGTTGTGAAATAATTGAATTTTGATTAAAAAGATTTGCTTACCTATATAATCTCCTTAGTGTAGCTATAGTCTAGTTATTCTTTGGTCTTAGTCAACTAGGGAGACAAATATTGTAAGGACAGAGACAAATATGGACAAAGAGAGTGAGAGAGAGAGAGAGAGCAGATACAAGTTTTTAAGAAAATGCAGTACAGATGTTTCTCAACTTTCAATGAGGTTATAACCTGGTAAACCCTAATAAGGTCAAAAAATTGTTAAGTCAGACAACTGTGAGCTGGGGACCATGTGCACTACAATTTCATGTTCAATCAGATAAAACAAATGTAGAAATAGGGACCAGAAGGTGGCATAATGGCTATGTCATGGAACTCCCGTATAGCCAACTGGGGTTTGAGTCCCGGACCCAGTGGCGTAAATTCATGCTTAACGCATGTGCGTGCATGCCCAAGACCCCAAGAGGAGAATGGAGGAGAAGGGATTACACCCCTGGGGGGGTGATTTCTCACTTTCTATCTCTCTGTCTCTCTCTTTCTGGTGAGCGCATGTGCCCTATAGCAAAAAAAAAAAAAAAAAAAAAGTGGAAATAAATCAAGTTTAATGTAAATATAATAGCAATCATTGTTAAAGGAAAATAAAGTAGCATTTAGGAAAAAAAAAATAATTCTGATAGAAAATACCTAGGACATTAAATTCAAGGAATACCTAGAGATCAGAACCCCACCCCAACTTCCTTGCAGAAATGCTTAATCAAGACTTTGAAATAATTGAAGTAAAACAATTTTGAGAGAACACAGAGCAGTTATCTTGAAGAAGTGATTAATCCCACTCATTATGAAAGTCTGATTATAAACAAACAAACAAACAAAACATACAAAACAAAAACTCATTCTGAGGCCAAAATGTGGTACGCCTAATATAAACACAAGAAATAATCGAATCAAAAGGTCACCATAATTTCGGAACTAAAGGACAGACTTGTCCATGGGAAACATGTGTACTTTTACATTTCTTCTATTCTGCCTTTCCTCAGTCTCTTCCGTCATTTCTTATCCAGCAGATGGGTTTTATGTTCTGAATTATTTTAGGTGTTCCATATTGCTGATGCAATGGTAATGAAGCCCACATGTGTGTTTTTTTTTTTTTTTGGGAAAATTTTTAACTGTAGGGCACGGCACGTGCGCTCGCCAGACAGACAGAGAGAGACA